TCCAAATTTTGGAACGTTTCGACTCCACAGAGGCTTGAAATGATCTGTAAGACAGATCTTTCCACCACGATACATCTTTGCAGTTTTTCCATCTAGTTCTGGTAACATTATCTCTGGACTGGATGCAGGATAAGAAACTGGGATATCAAAACAAACATCGAATTCATACTTTCGCATTTCATGAATGTACCTAGTATTTGGATTTAACGATAAAAAATCGTAAGCGTTGACCCACCAACACTTTCCTGACCACCGCGTCCCATTCGCATTGGACTCAATCTGAAACCAATGATTGTCATTTTCTTTATTATGCTCCACATATTTTATTAATGAGGTGTATTCTTCTTTTAAACGCGTGATCCAGTCATCTCCGTCGCGTGGACCAGCCCTTGTTTTGAGAAGAGGTATAGCTGCTATTGTCTTCTTCAAACCGTCATTTGACATCCTCACGTGAAACGACGGCAAAGACTCGCCTTAAAGACTATTGGCTGGTAATAGCAAATCAATAAAGCGCCAAAACGTGGCTCATATAAACCAAAAAATATAAACTGAGATTAGGGACAATTAACAAGATATGTATTGCTGATGTAATGTTTTGTATATATGTCCACAAATATGTCCAGTGGTTACTTAAATCTTATTTTAGCTTTTGTACACATGGACTCAATTTCGAGACAAACCGAAGACCAATGTCTTCGTCACTTCATGCAACACACTTATTAACTACTATTCTTTCAGCACACTCATCGCAGTACCTTAAGACATCTTGCTGGATGTAAAAAGTCACTAAGTTGTGCGTATGTGTGCAGTGAAACGAGATTCGGACAAAATTGGTGCATAACTTGTACCGAAGCCTAAATTACGAATTCACCAAAGTGACTACGAGTCTTGCAGGTGAATATATTGACAAGACACAACTATAGAAAACAAATTTTTGGCTCATTGCATATGTTGACATCTCTCAATAGCTAACCCATCTGGCGGAATCAATATGGCTGCAAAGTGCCCTCCAATATCACCGGAAGTCAAATAAGTAACGCGTTACTTACATGTGTGAGGTTTTATTCCTTTCCTTTCCTTTCATTTATTTTAATTTGGTGTAAATATAATCCGAGACTCTAAAAGCAGATTAATACGAATAATTTGGCTTACGTTACTGAAAGTTACTGGACGGAAGGGGTAGGTGGTTGCCGATGC